ATTCGTCTCGCGGATTAGCTCTCATTTATGAAATTAGTTTTTTTATTAGTCTATGTTTAATACTCTAAATTAGCGTCCAAACATCCGATATGTAATGGGCTAAAAAGTTTTAGCCTCATCTAATCATCCCCTGAGATCTCAAGAGAAATCACAGAGCTAATCAATCAATTGACGCCTGCTGATTCCCATCAGGTCCACCAGGGCCGGCAACGTACGTACTGTGCACCTTACTGTACAACGCTATTCAAGCTGAAATCCATCTGCAATTCGGCACACGGCTGTCGAGCCCGTGGAACCCAAGTGCTACTGATAGGTTTCGTGTGTTGGCGATTCACTTGGGACCCAAGGTACGTGCATCGGTTTCAAGTTGGAGCAGGGTACCGTGACGTACGCCCAGACCGAGCCAATCGATATGATCTCACCAACATTCGGTTGGGGCGCGAATCCGGAACTTGTGCGAAACAAGATGGAGAAATGTAGAGCCAAAACGATCTCTTGTTGGCCACTAGCCTCACTGGCCTCTCCGCCTCTGCACGGGATCAACAAAGTCACAAAGATGAGATCGCAGTAGCGCGCACCAACCAGCCGCGCTTCGGCACAGGCCAACCACACGAACGAGGCCATATTGATTTTTCCGAGGAATCTTGTGCCACCATTCACACAAAAGATCGGAGACGAGTTTGTTCGTTTGTTTGTATTTATAGTGAGTGGCGTTGACGTGTCAACTGATGTGAGTCTAACCGATGAAGAACGAATGGACAGAGGAAAACCGTTCGCGGTACTTTTAGCTTGGCTGCATTTGCACGTATATGCGTGATGGGATGAATTAGGCATCGTACTACAATCAAAGGTCAAGCCCCTGGAGGCCTACGCCGTCGTGGTAGGAATCAATCGATCTCTTCAAGATCAGTAGGCTAGAGGTGCGCCATCGTTAATTTACTGCACGTTTCATACCAAGAACGACTTCCAAGCCCTTCGCGGCACACATGTCCGGAGGGAAAAAAAGAAGAAGAAGAAAGCAACGCAATAGGTGTTATTGTTGCATGAGCAACACATGCGTCTCTGATGAGCATGAGGGCATCGATCATGAGCTAAAAGAGGTGGTCTCAGCTCGTTCCACGTGACCCCGCAAACGTTTTCAGCGGTTTACTCGCACCTTCCCGAACGTTTTGCGACTAATCGATCTGACCTCTACTCGCCAGCGTCACGCGCTTACGGTGATACGTCGAATCGCGGTGAAGGCGGCGCCCGATGCATGACGAAGCGGACGAGCCGCGCGCTCGCCCGGCCAACCACCGAAGCGTCCGTGGCCGTGTGTGCTGCCCGCGCCGGTGGCCAGCCACGGCTAGAAGACGCGCGCGCCCGCACGCGGCGCCAGTGGAGACGGGAGGGGAACGTGACACCAGCAACCGAAAGCCCCCACGCGTGCGCATGTCAGCGGCAGATCAGCCTCTGCGCCGCGCTGCGCCACCATACGTGCAGGGGCGAACAGTAGTTCACTTGGCCACGCGCGGGGAATAGTAGCCAACGCCCCCGCTGGTGGCTTGTCAATCTCGCTTGAACCAGCGGCCGGTGTGGCGGTGTATCGTCGACGGTTTGACTCGTGTTCTCCATGGTTTCTTTCTGCCCCTTTTCCATTTTCACATGTGTTCCTACGGATGCTATACCCACTTATGTTCAAGTATTTTATACTGCAACTACAGCCAAGTAGGTAATATACTATTTTTGCGTCGGTAAAAAGTGACACACAGCTTCTTTTTGGCAATATATATGTAGTTTGGCAGATAAATACTGTATCTTTCTTTAAATCCTTTTTAGCAAGTCGGCAGGTTCCGGTGTTAGGACGAACGAACCAAGAGGGTATCGGACAATATAAGCCTTGCGTAGGTTCGAGCAACTTGACAGTCGAAAGGGAAGTGGGGGCAGTACAGGGAGTTGTTAACTAGGGTAGGTGAGTAGAGAAGGTTCAGCAAGCCAGCCACCGTCTGGATAGAAATGGTGGCGCCACTTGTGCTGGCAATTTTTTGCGTTGACAAACGGAAGCAGCAGAGCACACGCTTGCAAGTAGGTTGGCCAAATTGCTGTGCGCCCTTAAAAGAAACAGAAGCTCGCATTTTTTTTTGTGCCCTCGTCGGCATGCAAGTTGCAGCGGCGAAGACCGGGTCTGAGCTGACGGCTGCCGAGCCAACGCCGGTCGGGAACGGAGTTTGCTGACACCCAGAATTCTGAACTTTTCAGCCCGCTATGTGGCTGCCGTTTTATTTCAGACTTCTCGAACAAATAACACAGGTTAGTGCTACAAAGATCCAAGAGGATGATGATTCTAGGTTCAAGAAGCAGCGGAAGCTGAGTAGGTAGCTGTTTCATGCGATCACTGTCGTAAAAGATCTCGCATCACTTACTAGCACCATATGCGGAAGAATGTAAGTACTGTAATTTCGTCAACCAATTATGGTTTACAAATCCCTGATCCAACAGGCTATACAAGCCTACAATAAGCACAACATGGAGGTGAAGGACAGAAATTTTGTTGTTCCTTCCCCCATTCAATTTGCAGGAAGAAACATTCAATGTCTATTTGCACATTCAAAGATTTGGCACCTAACACAACGATGAATCAGGACGACAGGTTTTGGTCAGCTGCCCACTTGTACATTTTCCTTCAGGTTTAGATAATTTCAGTTCTCCAATCCCCATATACAAAACAGCAATGTTGAACCTACAGAGTCCGCAGGGTAATAGTAATGTTGATCATATAAAGTTCAGTAGGGAAATAACCGTCATTATAGTTTCAGGCAGCGAGGGAGCTACACTGCATTCCTGCAGATTCAATCATACTTTAAGGCTCTTTAATTTTTGAATTCAACCATCTTTTGCACCAATTAATAGAACTTCGCAGCATTTGTTAAGAAATTTCTATGGCCTCCAGCAAAAAGAACCTACTAAAGTACATCCCTCGCAACTTTGAGGTCACAAAGAAACTCTAGAAGAAGAAATTCAGTCATTGAGCATTGTGCTTCTACCAGATGGACTGAGCAACTGAAAACACATGGTATAAGACTTGCAATCGTACTGTTGTTTAGCCATTTCTGATTCTTTCTCGTACTTCTTCCTACTTCCCCTTTGACAGTATCCCTTGTCCATTCTTCCCCCTTGATGTACATGCAATGCTCTTTCTGTTTCAGACCAAAAAAGGTTGATGTCATACTTCCTCAGTTTCATATCAGATAAACAAAATTTGTTCAGCAAACAAGAAACAAGTCAATTCCTGCATTTATTAGGAAAGAAAATGTTGGCCATGAATAGCTCAGAAAACAAATTGCTCGACGCGGCAGGGGATCACAGAAACCCTGTTTAGTAGATGCAGTACCGTTCACGAAAGCGAATACACTTATACACCTTTCTTGACTGAAAAAGATAAGGCAAATGTACCTTCTGTCTGGTAAAGACATTTACTCCCGAAGAAGAAAACAGCGAAGTAACACATCGATGGTACGGAGGCAGAGTTGATTGCAGAACATGCATTTCAATCAAAAGCTATAAAATACTGCTAGAGGGATTGGCCAACTGTGGGCACTTTTTAGTTGAAAATAACCTTTTGTTCTATCTTTTGGTTTAGGTAGCAATACAACAATATTTTAGTGGATCACCTTACTTAGAAGAATAAGAAGTCCCAAATCGTAAGGATGCTGAACGATACAGTAACACACCAACCCTCAGAAAAATAGGGAAAGCTGCATAGAATGATGAGATTTGATTGCTATTCGCTTCAACATAAGGGTGTGTTTAGTTCACACCAAAATTGAAAGTTTGATTGAAATTGGAACGATGTGATGGAAAAGTTAGAATTTCGTGTGTAGGAAAGTTTTGATGTGATGGAAAAGTTGAAAGTTTGAAGAAAAAATTTGGAACTAAACTCGGCCTAAGTTCTATAAAATAGGTGCAACAAATGGCATGGCCAATAAGGATTTTAATAAGCAGTGGTACATACTGATATCATATAACCTCATTCTTACCACACCCATTTCCCTCCTGAAAACGGCATAGCAGCTCAACCAACAGCAACTTGACAAATACAACAAATCAAGCTGATTGGGTCAGAATCTACTCTACACACTGCGCCGAAGCAAACGTCCATCCAATTCCAATTGTACACCAACTTTTCTCACATGGCATGACAGCTCGGTTAGTGAGCAGATAAGGAGACATAAAAAAGGATGTGTAGAACATGCACCCAACTAGTAATTACACAAACAAAAACACAAGAATATGGAACTGACTGAGCACATATAAACCTTGAGATAATAGCAAGTACACAGATTGAGCACATATAAACCTTGAAATAATAGCAAGCACACAAATAAACACACAGAATATGGAACTGATCGAGCACAAAAAAAACCTTGAGATAAAAGCAAGTACACTTTCATCTTCTCTGAAATTAATAACCTAAAAAAATATCCAGATTATTCCTTTGGCCCTAGCAAATAAAGCACATCATACTACTTCAAATTGTATCTGAATTTCTCAACTCCTGTACCATAAGCTGTTACTCAGTGTTATCTGTACATAGACATGTAATCCAGGTCAGATTCATGTGGTCGATTTGGCACAAAAGAATTGTACATGCAAAATATCTCTCGGAATCGGACTTGGATTAGGGGTGTATGATTGGAGAAAATTTTTTGGATAAGAGTGTCCAGGTAACACTGATTATACTAGGTGGGAAAAAAACATCCTACTTCATTTCCAATTCAAAATGGATCCAGCATAGAGGCACATCAGATCTGGTATAATTGAAGATGAATTTCTCAACTCCTGTACCATAAGCTGTTACTCAGTGTTATCTGTACATAGACATGTAATCCAGGTCAGATTCATGTGGTCGATTTGGCACAAAAGAATTGTACATGCAAAATCTCTCTCAGAATCTGACTTGGATTAGGGGTGTATGATTCCAGAAAATTTTTTGGATAAGAGTGTCCAGGTAACACTGATTATACTAGGTGGGAAAAAAAAACATCCTACTTCATTTCCAATTCAAAATGGATCCAGCATAGAGGTACATCAGATCTGGTATAATTGAACAAGATGAACATACTCGTGTATAATCACCTAAATCAAACAGAAATAATAGAGAGCTCAACAAGACAGTTAGATCACAACTACAGATCACACAGCATTAACCTTTACATCACAACATCAGCCACACATTGTATCCGAGAACTGAACCAACGTAATCAAGAATTCTCACAGATTGCTGTGATCCTCAAACGAGGTGGTTGCTCGGGTTCACCGTTTCTTTTCCAGAAGGCACGCCGCCACCATACCTCGAATCCTCTCTGAATATTTGGGCAGTCCTCCCCAGAGTTCAGGAACCGATTGAACCATGCCAGCAAGATCTCCTGCTGAGTTGCTAGCGGCAGTGTCAGGATGGTGTTTGCCAGTCCATCCTCAATCAAATGCCGGTCAAGCCCCTTGCAGGCTCGCCTCATCCATCCAAAGTCTTCATAGAATGGTTCTAACCAAGTACTCAAGAGTTGACAACGGACCTCCTTGGACACCAAGATCTGTCCCTTGCCAACCCCAACAAAGAGTCTTGCCGTCACTCGGCTAACTTCATAGCGGTGTATTGCTGGCACCTTGCCATGCAACTCTGCCAACTCAATCTGCATTGCCCACGTCCTCAAGAAATCCTCGGCAATCTGGCGTTCGACAAGGATGTCAAGCATCCAGTGAAGGTTGTCAGCCTGCCTGGCAATCTGCGCTACCTCAGATTGGTCACCCCCTGCAGCCATCTCAAATTGTTCATGCAGCAGGCGCAAGCAGCCATTGCACGCCGAATACAGTGACTCCTTCCGGAGGTCACCTCCAATGGCTCCTCCACGCGATGTGCTGTTCTCCCTGAGCATTTTGGAAACCAGCCCCTTCATCTCCCTCCTTGCCTTCTCGTCCTTCCCTTCCAGGACGACCTGCAGGAGCCTCACTAACACCTCCTCCCCACCACCTGAATTGCCACCACCATTGCAACCACTGCCGACCTCCACCTCTTCAGCCACTGCCGAGGGAGCCAACTCCAGTGAGACCCTCTTAAGCACCTCCCCAGCGCCCGAGTTCTCGAGGTGCAGCTGTGTCAACAATGCCGCCACCTTCTCATCGTCATCCTCCGCCCACGGAGCTGCCTCTAAATACTCCAAGCAAGACAGGACCCCAGCGTCGAACACAATGGCCGCGGACACCTACAATCACAGAAAGAAGGAAATCTCAGTGATCAGTGGACAAAAGTCAGTGATTCCGGATGAAAGAAGGAAAAAAGGGCGCACCTTTAGAATGCCGAGGACCTTGCTCACATCCTCCCTCATGAGCCTCCGGCGGAGATCCTTGCAGTACATGAGCCGCAGCGTCTCGACGTAGACCTCGACATCGTCGCAGTCGGAGATCTCAACGATGTGCGGCAACGTCCTCTGCTGCTTGGACCAGCGGTCGGAGAGCTTGGCGGCGAAGAACCTGCTGTGGGCGACGAGTATGTGGCGGTGCACGCAGAGCGTGACGGAGAGGCCATCCTTGGAGGTGAGGGTGAGGCGGACGTCGGAGGAGTCGGCGTCGTTGAACTGGTTCCCGGGGCTGCAGCTGCCGATGAGCTCGGCGACGCGATCCTGGAGCAGCACCTGCCTGTCCATGGAGCGGGCGGGCTGCAGCGGGTGCGCCTGCTGCGGCGGGGCCGGGATGGAGTGGATGGCGGCGGCGGTGCGCGGGTGGTAGTCCTGCTCGTTGGCCATCATGTCGAAGAGGGTTGGGCTGGAGCGCGTCTTGTCGAGCGGCAGCGGCGGCGGGGACATTGGGTTGAGGAGGCCGGCGTTGAGCGCGGAGTTGAACTTGGTGTAGCTGGACGGGTAGGAGGTGGGCGGCTGCGGCGGGGGATCCATCGTTTCGGCGGCGGGGGAGCTGGATTGGGATGACGGGGAGGAAGAGGCAGCGGCGGCGGCGGGGGTGGGGGTGTGGCCGTGCGGAGCGCAGCACCAGGAGGAGGCGAGGTCGTGGGGGACGAGGTGGGAAGGGGAAGGCTTGGGGAACAACGGCCTGGATCTGGAGGTGGAGGTGGAAGGGGAGGAAGCGGGCATAGCGGTGAGCCGGTATTTGGCAAGGGAGGGAAGGAAAGGATGGGGCGCGCGTCGTGGGGATTCTCGCCGCGCGGGGGCAGCACGGGGAGCGCTTGCTTGTCGTCTTTTGATGCGGGGACGGGGCGTGGGGGGGAGTTAATGGATTGGATGGACTTCGAACGCTGGGGGGACCACCACCCGGTTGGCACGTCCCGGTGCCGCCGTGGGTCGAACAAGGCGTGACATGCCGCGATCAATGCCCGGGTGGTGGTGGTGTTGGCGTGGGTGTGTGCGGGGCGTACGTGAGCCGGGGAGCGTTGCCCGCGCGCCGGCTGGACGGGCCGTATCACTGTATCACCGCCGCCGCCGCCTGCGCGCGAGGAGGAGATCTCTGTCGTGTCCCCGCGTAACTCGTACTCTAAACCCGTACTATTGTGCACGCAAAGCACCGAGCAATTGAGTTGTGCGCACGGTAGCGCCCGGGTGCGCCGTGCTACGAACTCATCGTGTATGACAATACGGGGTGAGCGTATTTTTGGTCGAACTAGTATATCAAGTTGACAAATTGAATCTTCAAGCTAGTAAAGCGTAGGAGTACTAGTACTCGCCAGAACAGACGACTGCTCCCTGTTTAATGACAGGGCATGGTACACCAGCTTAGTTAGCCTAAACGAAACGGCGACGACAGCGATTAATTCACGTGCCAGCCGGCCTTTTCCACGGACGGCTGCACTCGGATGAGCGCCGCATGTGCGTCCTCCTCGTTAGCTTTTGGCCTTTACTAACCAGCCATAGCATAATAAGCAATTAAGTGCATCCAAGGCTTTTGGTTCCACTTCAGCAGCCAGAGAACAAACAGTTGGGCACTGGGCAGTTGCATTCCAGTCCACCCAAATTTTGGTGTTTGCTCGTCGAACTGGTGTTGCAAGACAAACGTCCAGCTTGATTGTATGCCAAACCACGCACAAATTCCAAATGCAGATCAGCATGCAGATGGCCAGACGCTTCTCCTCGACATACAACCAAGGCACTCGCTGTTAAGGTCAGCAGCTTTTGCAGGGATTACCGGCCTTACCTGGATCCACCGGGACAGACAACAGTTGGCGTCAACAGTGCCACAATCCGATAGTGGTCCTATCAGGTATAGTTAATTGTTACGAGGACAGACTTTGACACCTTGATGTGTATAGCCCTCCTTCCCCTGATGACAATAACATTCACTCGATCGTATACATACTTACCAGTTCACCGCCATTACCCGCGCGCGCGCGCGCGCGCGCCCACACACACACACACACTGCCACACACACTTGACATTTCCATGGTGTTCATAGAAAACAATGAGCATTTCCATTGATTTTCAACTAGCTGACACTCTCCAGGGCCCAGGCTGCAGGTCTGGCCCATATGCAACATTCCATGTGAGATTGCACGAGTCTAGCAGTTACATGATCGTGCCAGCCGCTGTGCTGATTGCTAAACGGACGATTTGCATTGCACAGTGTACAGCTAATGAGTGCTACTTGAAAAACTGATCCGGGTATGCGTAAAAAATTTCTGAATAGATGATGTGCGCGGGGTGAATCGGAATCCGGAGACGATCTAATGAAGAGAGGACTAAAATTAACGTAGGAAATTAAGATGTCTAGCTAACACCATTAGTGCCTAGCGGTACCGGTACAGACGCCTTGATTCTGATGTCCTCGGCAAGATGGTACGTATGGGCCGGTGGTTGGAATCGTTTCCAGGCATAGTAGTGATGTTTCGGGGATTCTGAAGATCACCTATTCTTCGGCCAGCTGATCCTACCATCCATTGCACCGAAGAATCCCAGGTACAACCTGAGAAAGTACCAGCTGGCCGCTCAGAATTCACGTCAGAAACACAAGGACAGGCCAGGACACACACGAGGCCAGGACGAGAAAATTGTAATATTGGGACTGCAAATTTGTGGGCTTCGTTGTTTTGACACTTCAAGTGAATGACAAATGGGTCCATATATATGTATGAAATGTGGGTCCAATATAATTATAGCAAAGGTTAATATTTGCAGTGTTATAATTGCAAATTCCCTGGCCAGGACATACACTGGCTCGCTTCGGTCGGAAATTTCCAGGTTGTCAACCTAGCCCGCGATTGGCACCACCGCGCCGCCGCGGCCCACAGCAACCTCACTAGTCACAAGTGGGTGGCCACCATATGATATTGGGCCAGATGGAACTGGAGTTATATGGACAAGAAGAATGTCCATTTTGCCTCCTCAACCATGATCCGAAGCTAATTCGCCCCTCAACTGCAAAATCAAATAGAAAGCCTCCCCCAACTTTTAAACAAAGCCATTTTACCTCCCCGAATGGTTTTGATACCAGTTCATCCTACCGGATGCATACATGGCATGTTGACCTAAGGTTCATCCGATGTGTCACCTATCGTACCGCATACGTGACGTTATAGTTAGTAAAAAGAAAAAAAAAGAATCCAATGGGCCTCGCATGTCACCAACATAATCCTCCTCCCTCAATCTCCCACATCTTCCTCCCTCTCCTCTGTCTCTACCAACATATTGCGAGGTAGAAGCGGACAGTGAGCTCAGAGAGCTAACGGCCTTTTAACAAAAACCTTAGGCTGTGTTCGGGAGGAGGGGTTGGGCCCGGCACACAAAACAAAGCATCTATTATTGTATGATTAATTAATTATTCGCTAATTTTTTTAAAAAAAATGGATTAATATGATTTTTTAAAGCAACTTTCTTATAGAAATTTTTTGCAAAAAACACACCGTTTAGCAGTTTGAAAAGCGTGCACGTGGAAAACGGGGGAGGGAGGTTGGGAAAGAGAGGTAACGAACGGAGCCTTAGTCGAGATGGGATCCCCGCCCTTTATCCCCAGCGAAATGGACATCGACACAACCTTCCTTGAGCTTGTTGGCCTCCACCCTCAGTCACCCTCTTCGCCCTCCAGCATGTTCTGCCGGATATCTCACAGCGAGATGTAGTGAAGATCACCCCTGACCTCGGCTTTCTCCCCTTCTCCAGCCACTAGACCCATGTCACCTCTCCTCTACCTCGGCAGCCTCTCGAACTCTCTCAAAATGATGACTATGGCATGATCGATTCCACGATAGGACCGATTTCATGGTGGAAAAGGGGATGGAGGGGATCCAGAGATAGCCAAGATCAATGGCCTTAGGCTCACCTTGCAGGGGACGTACGACTCATGGGCTTGCCGAGAGCCACCGCTAACTTGTGTTGTTGTTGGCATCAACACAATGGTTGGGAAGAGGAATTAGTTGTTCGAGTGCTCGAGCTCAACCTCCTAAGAAGCTCCAAGCCTTACTTCGGCCCGCCCTACGCAAGTTTGAGGTACGCGCATCCCAAGCCCTGCCGTCTTTGCCTCATTATCGCCGTCGCCACATGGATATTCTTGGGATAGCCGCCGTTTGCTGCTTGCTGGACAACCGTCTTGCCACTAAGACAATATGTGTGTGTGTGTCTGTCTACACACACACACACACACACACACACACACACACACACACACACATATATATATATATATATAGGACACTCATATGGGGCACCATGGTGCCCGGGCACCATGGTATCAAATACACAAAATCACTCAAATTTTTCAAAATTTTCAAATTGTGAGTATATACCTAGTTATAATAACTCGATTCATACCTATACCTATCAACAAAATAACTCAAATTTAACTTTATTTCACAATCCATGATTACATACCTAACTAATTATATGTATGGATGCTATATACCTAGAATCAAAATCTAACAAAAACAAGTTCAAATTCAGTTCAAACTTGCTTTGAACTAGTTAGTAAAGTAGCTAATGTTAATATCTAAGTAATTGAAAAAGTTTCATACTCATTTGAATTAGGTATATACTCAATTTCAACAATGGTGCCCGGGCACCATGGAGCACCAAACAAATTTACTATATATATATATATATATATATATATATGGCAGAAAAGAGGAGGGAGTGATGAGGTAGCATCAATGGTTATTTTTACTGACATTTGGGCCTAATCGATTATTTTATTTTATTTTTCTGCTTGAAATCCCACATAAACACCATGTTAGTATAGGTGAACCAAGTCAGCATGCCATATCAGATAAGACCGCTAACTGTAGTGCTATGTACGTGCACGTAGGACAAAATACCTTCAAAACCACTTGAGGATGAATAATAAACTAGTTTGGATAGTTGAAGAAGGGGAAGATATAACCGATTTGCGAGGTTAATCAGACTTGGCCCATTGAGGGAGAAGATATAACCGATACCTGCCCCCTCGCCGGCTCCCTCTTCGTGCGCTTGGCTGGCTTAGGCTCGCCGGCGGAGAGGGAGAAGGGCAGCGTCCAACCATTCTCCCGCAGCGCCTCCTTCTTCGCGGGGAGGGCAGCGATGGCGGCCTCCATCTCCCCCATCGTCATTCGGATTGCCAGCGGCGGCGGCGGCGGTGGCTAGCCACGCCCCCACGGTGAGGTCCGTCGCGACACCCAATGCAGCCCCGCCCCGCCTGTCGCCCGCTTCTGCCGGCCGCCGCTCGTGCCGCTCCATCGGCCGGAGAGAGAGAGAAGGGATAGAGAGAAGGGGAGAGAGAGAGGAGGGATGAGTGAGGATGACATGTGGGGCCCACCATTATTATTATTATTTTGTGTATGAAACTGACATGTGGGTCCCACGGGTTTTATTATTTTTTAGATCGAATTGCCACGTAAGCGCCACGTTAGTGCCACGTCAGATAAAGACCGAGTCAAATTAGCCACATAGACGTCACGTTAGCCAAAACCGCCGAGGGACCTCATATGCACCGGTTTTGATAGTTGAGGGACCCGTTGTGTCTAGTTTTCCGGTTGAGGGACGAAAATCGGATTTGTTGACAAGTTAAGGGACCTTTGATGAACTTATTCCTGCTCAGAGAGATGCCCAACCATCTTTGGACTGCGCCGAGCTTGAAAAATGTCTGTGTGGAATATAGGTCATGGGCCTAGTATGCAAACTGGCTTTAGGTCCAATGGTTCTCTGTCACCGAGGCACAATGCCAACGGTGAAAGATCCATCTTCTAAGCTAGCTTTGCATTATCGCAACAAAGACTTAATA